CGGCCCTGCAAGTGTACGCCTTCATCCAACGTGCCTTGAATACATGAAAGCAGCCGTCTCCATGATACACAAGTTCAAAACACATTTCAACTTCTAGAAAAATCAATGCCAACATGACGGCGCGGCTTTTCTTCCAGCAGGAGTCAATCTTAACTTTTCACTTTAGTCCACTGCATGCATGGGTGAATAAATGGTAAAGGTGGTTTTTATCTCTTTTTTATGAAATATTTGGGACACTCTCAAGACAGATGGGATGGGAATCCAGTAATTTAGCAAAATACGAACACATTGAGACAGTAGAGACGTGGTTTTAGAAGTACGTATATAGAAATTAAGATACTTTATTCTTGTTTCCGAGCTGGAAAATGAGAACGTTCACATATTGGTGGTAAACTTGAAAATATTGCTGCTAGTTTCAAAGCCATCAACACTAAAGCACAGCTTCAAATATGTGAATATAGGCCTTTTCATGGCAAATATTCACACTTATAATAGCAAGAAAATCAGAGTTGTAATTAAAAACAGTAATGATGGCTGCAGGGTGCAGGTATTGTGCATGAACCTGAGCTTTCGTTAATGTCATTAATTATACCTGTGCACATCCTGTTACGACGACCCAGAATGTGACAAAGGCTTATTGCCACTATAAGTATGCACACAGCACATCTTAGTATTAAAGCTTAGAGAATCTGGATAGAAGATCATTTGACAGCAAATGCTTTGACTTTTCATAGCAGACTTTTCAAACCTTGAGTGTAATAGGTAACATGGTTCCATCTGGTTTCATGTGTGTTTTTAAAAGAAAAAGCTTTACTGTGATTGAAGCCAGTAAACAGAAGATATATGGACCAGCTGTTCACTTAAAAACAGTTGATAAATCTTAGAATTACCAGGATTTCTGAATTTATTACTGATGAAATGTGGTATATTCTTCATCTATACAATTACACCCAAAATCAGTCTGGCTAAAGCAAACATATCTTACAGCAAGACCTACATCAGATGTTTCCACCGCTGATAAGACGACTTGGACCTTGATAAGAACTGTTCTGTCAGCATTTCTGTTAGGTCTTGATTGAACAGCTGTCTTTTGGTGGTGCTAATTCATCTCAATTCTGTTAAGGTTAGACTTGGCCTTTTCAGAACTTTAGTTAATAAACTTCGGGTCATGGGCCCTAACATTAATTCATTGCTCTATAAGTGTTTGGTAGGCATCAAGGCCTTTAATTGGCAGTGGAGACCCAAACCATGATAATGCCTCCACCATGCTGCACAGTTAGGATGAGGTGTTTCCCCCTCCAAACATACCACTGTGTTTCTTTTGAAGTGTTTTTTTTTCTTCTTCCTTTTTACATCATTTTTACTCAGTGATTTTCTTACAGTGGACACAGGAAGCTTTCTGTTACCCATTTTCTAGCACTTTCAGGACTGCGTATCAAATTCAACCCTAAGGAACAAGAGCAAGGGTCTTGAAATTTCTCAATTTGTAGTTTGTCTAACTTTGAATTGAAGGACACCCGGGTCTTTGAAAAGCATCTCTGTAATGCGTCTGTAATCAAAGCGCAGCTCACACCAGTCAAACCAGCCAAAATAATCCTTTATATACAGGTAAAGAAAACCCAGGCCGCCAATCTCATTTCTTTAACTGGAGCAGCTTTTGGTAAAGTCTTTAGCACAGATGTTAATTTACTTTGTCCAACCTAGACTGTGACATGGAAAGTACACTGCATACCTTTCGTAACAGGAAAAAATACGGAGATAATAATTTCTTTTATAAGTAATAAATCCATAAATCCTCGAATTAGTTGTGGTTTCCCCTCGCAAATACGCTGTATCACTAACTGGCACAAAGATTTTTCACTTGTCTTCTAATATATCTTAAAGAACCTGCTTTTGTTTCAGTCTTGATGTCAGTGAAATACAAGATGCAGTTTGACTTAATACAAGCCTACATTTTACAGCACCAGTGATTATTTGGTCAACTGGGTAACACATAAACAGCAACAGTTGCCCTTTGAAGACGTGATGCTCTAGAGCCTGAGAGCCAATATGGCTGACAACAGGCAAAACTGCTCTTCATAATGTAACCCAGAGACTTAATATGGCTTAAGGGTTGAGAATCTCTTCTAAGCAAAATCTTCCGGGGATAGTCAAATCTCTCTCTGTCTTTATACAGCTAATTTGACAGTTTCAAAATCCTTCTCTGATCAATTTTACCTCTCTTAATCCCCTCTCACCCCCCCCTTGCACCTGTTAGTCTGGGTCTACATGCGTGCCTCCCTCTCTCCTGAGAGCATATGGAGCAGTGGCTGACCCAGAGAGTCGTTGAGTGTGGAGACAGATGCAGCCCCCAACCCTCCACCCCTCCTCCTCTTCATCTACCCACCATGACCAGCCCAACCCTCCAATCCACCTGTTTGGGTCACAAACCACGGGGATGAGTGGCTGTGCGCGTGCCACACCAGCGGCTTGGCCACTGCTTTGTTATCCAACCCAAGACAAAAGGGTATTTAGGGAGACCGGCTGCCTGCCCAAGGGGAACACAATGCCATGAGGCTGGCAGGCCTGTGGACCCAGGGACGCCGATCACGTGCCGACTTTATGTGAATAAGCGTTAGGGGGCATCTGTTGTGTGTGTGTGTGTGTGTGCACGCGTGTGTCTAACCTGAAGTATTATGCCAGACGATGGGGAATTAGACAAAGAAGTATGATGTGGGAGTTAGAGGGAGGGTACTTAAAAACAATCACATCTATTAGAATTAAAAGAGGTCTACACATGAATAGACTGCTGTAGTAATAGGAGGTCAACTTCTGCTGCAAATAAAAGGCATACTAAACTACTGTATACTTCTATATCACTGCACAGATCCATAAAACCGAACACTGCTTCGTGATTAATGAACTTCAGTGCAGGAAAATACATTGTCGCGCAGGTATTGGGGTCAAGTCATAAAGGTTACCGAGGTTGGGTCAAGTCCGCTCATCCAAACTGTGAGGATCCTGACCGCCCTGCTGCGATTCAAGCTCTAACATTTGCAGCCATTAATAACTTTCCTTGAATCAGCTTTCATCGGAATAAGTTAAAAGATAGAAATGTGACATAAACTGCCTGAGATTAAGACACTGTTCATGATCACCGATGGCAATAATGGACAAAAGCACGTACCCCCATTTTCAAAGTTGAAATTTAGCATTCAAGTAATAACATCTATACTTGATCTTAAATCGGCCTTAAAATGCTGCCACACAAGTGTCAAAGTCTTGAGTCACACTTGCAACATCTGCAAACATACATCAAAATACTGTGTATAAGGCAACAACAGAGTTTTTGCAGCTCTACGCAGCCTGATAGTCAGTACTTGATATGAGCTACTCTCTACACATATCTGGAATCATCAGTCCATACGAGCTGTCGCCACTGATTTTTAGTCCAGTTCTTGGATCAACTGAAGGGCCACATGCATTTCTCAGGTCCCATGTTTGCTGGTTGTTGTTTGATTTTTTACTGTTTCTTAAGGACATGACGTTCAGATACTGTTCTTGCAGTAGATGTAGAGGGTTCATAATTTTTAGGCCTGCCACTTTTTATTTTATCCTCCATTTGTCCAGTTTCCTCAAATCTTTTAATGAACGCTGCACAGCACACTGAGATATGCCAAACTGTCAGCTAATAGGTCTTTGAAACCACCTTCTTGGTGCTAAAATACTATTTTATGCCTCTTAAACTGAGCTATCATTTTTCATAAATTCACTTACAGAAATGGGAACAAATGAGGTGTTCTTGGATGGTAGTAACAAAGTGCCTAAAGATACATTTTAAATTGGGTGCTTGTTAAGTTGTCTGTTGTATTTAGGCACAACACTGGCTCATCGCTTGAGTTAGGTGGCTTTTTATAGGCTTGAATAATTCATAGGTCAGTGTTAAGTGGTTTAACAAAAACAAAAAAAGAATTACTTCTTAAGACCCCACTAAAAAATACAAAAATGTCTGACTCTGTCAAGTGCTTGTTGTGACTTTTCTTTCACAAAAGTCTTGGTTTTATATTCCTTACATCAAACATACCAAGACATGTTGGTCTCAGAGTACGAGTCTCAAAAGCAGGTCATACAACTCGAGAGTGATGCTGTTCAAATGTGCCCAGAGCAGCTGATCTCACTGAGATGCTGACAAACTGATCTGTGAAATTAAAGAAGTGAAATTTCTGTTTCCCTGAAATGGAAACACAATCCACCACTTTAAATAGTTAGAAACAAGTTTTAGAAAACTCAGGAGTCACTTTCAGATATACTGATAACAGGATTTTTTGTTCGAATGAGCTCTATTTTTGACATTGCATGCATTTCTTAAATTTTTGTCCAGTTTTATTAAAACTACAAACATTTTGACAAAAAAAAAAAAGAGTAAATCTGAATGGCTATGTTAAATTCAGCACTTTGAAGTTCTCAATGTAAATAAAATTATCTGTGCTGTGTGGGTGAAGATGGTTTTCCACTGAAACAACATTTCACATCTTAACAAATACATATTTTAATATTGCGAGGCAACTTTATTTTTCTTTTTGAAATATTTGACATATTTCAAAGATTTGAAAAATAATCAAACCAAAAGTGAAGCAGAATTGAACCGCGATCCTTGGAGCTGGTATAAATGTTTAAGTCTGTTATGATATGGAGTTCATTTGCCCGGTCCAAAAAACAAAAACACACTTTTTTTTTCCCCCGTGTGCGTCTTTGTTCAGTCTAGACAATATTACATCATTCTGGCAGGGGCGTTTGTATGTTATTGAGTCTATTGTGGCTTATACAGTGTGTCATGCTCTCTCAACAGGCACGGTTACACATGGCTTGTGGCGCCCTGACCTACAACTCCCCCTCTTGTTTGTCAGCAGTTGTTTGGCCTACTTTCATAAAGACAAACACAGCCATTTGTTTTGTTTTGCATTTCCATGAAAATGGAAAAAAAACACACAAAATAAAACGGGGGGGGGGGGGGGGGGTTTTTTTGTTGTTGAAAGGGTAGCGGAACTCCGCCCTTAATAGATTCCAACCCAAGTGACAAGATTTTGCCTGTTAAATTATGACTATTACCCCTGAAAAAAGATAATCAATTTCCCATCATGCTTTTAATTATCAACAAAACCTTTTTTGTGCAAGTTTTAGGCTCTTCTTCAACCTTCTGGACACCAACTGAACTACGAGCCATTCAGCCGGCAAGCCCTCCAGCTGAATCTGCCCCTCCCTCCTCTTTTCAGTCTATGGACAGCAAGGATGCTACAGTTCATTAATGAGTATGCTCCGTAGCTCTTTAAGAGTCCTTAATTACACTGTGACACCAGTCAGCCCCAAACTAGGAGGGGTACAGAGGGGAGGCACGCTGGGGGAGGGGAACAAAGTCCACAAACCTCGTTTCATAGAAATCAAAAAGGGGCACCTAACCTATTCAGAATTATCAGTCAACCAATCTCATTCTGAAGAAAAATCAATTGTTTTGACACGAGGAACTTGATCAAACAAAATTGATTAGGTCTTTCAAAAGGTGTGACATGGATAGCACTCTGGGGCTAGGCGATGGACTGTGGCAAACACATGTGATTGAAAAGCTTTAAATGGGTGTCAAACAAGCGGGGACATAATGTTTGACTTAAATTATCAGCAGTCCCACAGGAGGCTTGTGGGATCGCTCCCCGGAGCCGGGTGTGTGTGCAGAATACAAACAGGGGATTCACCGGTGACCAGTGGGTCAGCACTGGAAGAGGGATGGGTGCCGGTTGCTCCTGTGAGACTTGGCGACATTCCTACGGCAGCTTTTTTTAATTTGCTGGACATGACCCCTCCTAGCAGGCGCTCACAGGGCACACAGCACTTCTAACACACAGCCACGGTTGCTTTGAGTGCGTGCTTGCAGCGTAGGTGGGAGGAGAGGGGGGGTGTTGTTGTTGGGTCCCAGATGGGGTAATGGGGAGTTTAGCATCAGGATTACAATGAAATAGTGTGGCTTTGAATTGAATAGTGATTACCCCAAGCTCACAGTGGTTACACAATAACACTGCTCCCCAACACCTCCACCAACAGGACAGGGTGTGGTCAGATATTTAATTCATACCCGTCAAAATTATTCTAAAATATTAGAGCATGATAACTGTCCTGTGAAAAATTACGTCTCGACCACTTTTACTTTACACGTCATTTTAAAACCAAAAACGTTTTAATTTAGCCTCACAAATCCCCAGTTTTAGCTATCAAAGTCAGTGGCAAGTACTGCGTATGTATAAAAAAATAATAATAATAAAAAGTGCCCCCCCTTCATGGTCACAGCTGGTTATTACTGCATTTTAAAGTCAAAATATGTAGTTGTAAAAATTGCAAAAGGCGTTCCTTTATGCTTTCTCAGTTATTCTCCTCTTCATCTTTCTCGCTTCTACATCACATACATACGCCAGGATGACTGACTAATCTGTTTGTTAAACATGTGTCTTGCCTCTGAACTCCCCAGCTGCTGGCCAGTCAGCCAGCCCAGGGAGATTGAAATGTTAAGAGCGGTGAAGACAGGTCCACTAATTAAATTCCCCAGGTTAATCCCAGCCGATCCCCTCACCACACTCTCCAACCCGCAAGGAGACAGGAGGAGGGCAGAAACCAGGGGGAACAACAAACAAACAAACATTAAGCGCTAACAATGGATGCATGAAAAGAAAAAAATCACAACAAAACTGGATGAGGAACTGAAAAGACTGAAAAACCACATGTGGTGAGTCTCATTTAAACAAGCAAGCATGCAGACAAACATGCATCTGTGTGGGTAAGGGTGCAATAACTTCAACAAGCATGTGTAAAGCTAAAAGGCCACGATATTGGAGGAATCTTCATAAACAGCACACGAAAGCTCATCTACTGCTTCCACGTTGACAGCCATCACATTCCCAGGACTGCTTTGAAGAAAAGTTCATCAACACCAACCTCGGCCCTGTCATCGTCTCAGCATGTACAGTGGTCTCACGTCTGACCCTTTGCCACTGTACAACCGAGGACAGCTGACCAATGACTATCCAACTATGTGACCTTGGCAGCATCACAACAGGTGCTGCATTCCACCTCCTTAAGGTGTCACAGCTTCAGGTTGCAGAAACTACTTTCAAGGTGGCCTAAGAAATAACAAACTGGCTTTCAAAGAGGTTTCATCGTGACAGAGACCAATATATGATCGCCCAAAACAATAGACATGAGCATGAAGTAATGACGAAAGAAAATGAGCTTAAGTTGGGAGCTGTCAAGGCTTTATACAACTTTTAGGGCACAAACACCATTACAGACAGAAAACAAATCTTATCTGCCTTTCTACAAATCAAGATATTTATCATGTCGTGAGCAATGGCAGAACAAAAAGAGCACAACCTCTCCCAAGGCAGCTCACTCTCTGGACAGTATTTACTAATAAGGAAATAATACTGAATTTTTTACATATTCACTTTGTTTTCTTTTTTCTTTTTCAGCATATTTTAAAGAGGCTTTTAAGCACAGTAAAAATCAGATACTTTAAATACACAAACATTATGCAGATGTATGTAATGGGTAACAGGTACTGATTTATAGGTAACTGGACATGAATAACTTGAGCTCATTATAAAATATCATATAGTTCAAACTAAATAGGCAGAATATTCACTTTCTCCTGACAACACTTTCCTTAAAGCTAAAACAGTTTTCAGTCAATTTCAAAGAAAAGCAGATATGAAATGCAAAAGTGAGGTCAGAGGTCAAATGTGACATGATACTGTAATGTGGTATTTATAACCTCCATATACCAGTATAATTTCATAAATGTTGTCCATCCAAGCAAAGGCAGCAGAATTTTAACCACAGTTGTAAAGCTAAGATATTTTATTAAAGTTTGACCTTATTTGAAGAAGTGCTCAGCGCTCCAAAGTACTGTGATATTTACAATCCCCTCCATACATGCCCCTGTATCAATACAAACAATGGAATAGCTCTATATAGCATTAGTATCATTTTGACCTTCAAATCAAGCTACTGACGTTGGCGAATAGGTCAAAGGTCAGCTGTTATATCTTTATACTGCATTTTCTATATGTTGACGATACACGCCACACTTGTAAAAAATCATAGTTGAGTTTGAAAGATTTTTGCAAATTTTCTAAAAATAAATTATTGAGTTGACCTTGAAGGCCTGAGTGGATTTAAGCCAAATTTTAATGGAAAGTTTAAATCATAATTCACTGAAAACTGAACAAACTGACACGTACGCAGGCAAACGCTACCATAAACATAAACATAAATAATCACTGTGATCCTTACTCAAGCACACAATTTAACTATAAATACCAAAAGTAACTGATTTTTTGCATTGGCATATCATATATCATTATATGATCCAATTATTATAGATAGGATGATGTATATGTGTAATTATCATTTTCATTAAAATAGCTAAATTGCTAAACTTATACCAGTGAGCAGCAATTCTGGCTGTAAATGTAGCAAAGTAGAAGTCAGAATATATATTTCTGAAACCTAGTGGAGCAGAAGTATTGTGCTTTAATAAATGTTATGTTCAAACAACACCAGACTGTTATAGTTAAAAATGAATGAAAGACACGTGCAGAACTTTCTGATACATCCACAGCAGATTCTTCATAACAAAGAAAAAAAACTATAAAAGTGAAAACATTTATTATCGTCCCAACTGATCTACAGCGTTGAGCAGATGAGGTAAATGCAGGAAGTGTAGATTACAAAAGGAAAACTAGAGCAGGTGCTTTTGTACAAAGTGGGTGTGGTTTGGGGAAGATGTGGGTGTACGACACAGCGTAGGCGTGCTGCGTCACAGACACCACGCGCCTGCGTTGTGGCTTCGCTCAGAGGTGTAATGCCTGATTAGGGGATTACAGGAAAGTGCTTCTTTGCAGTTCTGTGAGAAACAATTATTAACATGTTGGTGTCTCTAATCCTGGATAAACACAGCTTTTCAAGAACAACAGCGAGTCTTTCTTCCCCTCTTTTTTTTTAAAAAAAATCCATGTTTAAACCCTGTAGTCACTTGAACTCCAAAGCCTAACTAATACCAGCAGAGGAGACAGGCCAGTCTTGTGGAACATTGTCATTACAGAGGTTGTGCTCTTGGTGGAAGACATGGCTGGCCAGCAGGCCTTCACATCAACAGGGAAATCCAAATTTAGCTTGGGGAGAGAAAAGCATTGTGCTGAGCACAGCTTGTTGAAAGGGAATTAGACTGAAACATGTTCACAGCCTGTAATCTTTTATTTGTTTGTACACTTGTCTCATGTAATCTGCTTTCTAGTAATGCAGAGATGATTTCCTAAGTCATGCTGGGGAACCAGTGGATAATAGTTACAGGTGGGCTGTTATCACAAAGCACCGGAGGTTCGTGCAAATGTCAAGTTATCCACTTGCGATTGATGGACTCATAGGTCGCTACGAGTTAAAGAAGGAATTGTAACGAAACAGAAAACAGCAAGATTTTTCATAAAGTCGATGAGCCAATGCATAAAAAGCTAATAATTTTATAGATTTATGGGAATGCATTCAATATTATAGATGCTATTTAGTGCCAGTTGTGCCTGATAACAGTCAAGCAGGAAGCAATCAACCCACTGCTGATGCCTGAGCCACCAATCTACACACTTACAGACCTTCCCACACACACAGACACACTTTATCATTTCAGTGTAGCCTGTGGCTCTAAAATACAGCACATCAAAACAACCTGTAAGTTTCATTTCTGATGCCCTTGAAACCTGCTGACTGGCCATACTGTCCACTACCTGACACTTTGAAGCGTGCCTCATCTCAGTCGTCTCCTCTGCCGCCTTTCTGTGAGGTCCTGAGAAGAAACGATGGACAACATGTCACGGCCTCGTTTTTCCTGCTATGTCAGTGTAACAAAACCCTCATGCACCAAATTTGAAAATTCAATCAGTGGAGAAATTGGTATTCCTCAAACAAACAAAAAATACATATCTATACTGCACAGACTGGATTTTTTAAAAAGTGTGTAAGCATTTCAGTTTGCTTTTTTGTCTCTCTTTTTTACCTCGGGTTTAAGTCAGTTTCCACAGAGAAAGGGGGCGGGGCAAAAGCAGTCCTAAAGGTGCTGGTGCTTGTATGTGATGTGGGGATGTGTTGTGCCCATCTGGCAGGACAGGGTTTAGCCCTAATCCCAGAGCCCCTCTGCAGGGGAGCCCCAGACTGTTGATCACTGCCCCCCTGCTGGTTCCTCCACACCCCTGACCTCAACACCACATAAACGCACAGACTGCTGGCAGAACAGAAGAACACAACACAACTGCACATAAACAGCAGAGCAGTGGTCAGCTTTACACTTCCATATTCCACTCCGGCAAATAGTGCCTTATGATATTCAAGTTGCAGGTCAGTACTGAGTTCGGTGACCACTAAGTACATACAGGCAAAAGTGTCCGCTGCACAAACAGAAACACAGAGGAAGACGAGAAAGAAATGTGACCCTAACAGAAAGGAAAACAGAGAAACATACCCACACACATGCAGAGGGCACAGAGACTTGTTTTTGTGAGGCAATATGGAATAACTAATTTATCAAACACACAACTATAGACAGAGTAAATATACACACACATAATTACAAAAACATAGACGGATAGGCAAACACACAAAGACACCCAGAAGCAGTCACCCAGCCATACACACCACACACCTAACTACTGATAATCCCCCAGACACAGGAACACACACACACACTCACACACACATACATACAGAGCATCATTATGTTTATCACTGTGAACCAGCCCACCGACACCCATCATTCTAATTCCATTTGTCTGTTTAGATTCGTTTTGCTTTAATCCTCCCTTGTTTGTGCACATCTGCAAGCACTGCAATAGTACAGACCGAGAACGAGAGGAAGAGAGAGAGAGAGAGGTACAGAAAGAGACAGAAAGCAAAACAGAGAGAGAGAGAGAGAGCTCACAGGGAGCACTCTCCCTCATGACATCCTGGTCCCTGTAGCTCCAGCAGAAGGGGCAGACAGGCGTATCTCCTTGCCCAGGGAGAAGCTCCCTGTCCCAGCCACGGAGCCGTCGCCAGGCCCGGAGGCCCCTATAATCACTGCAAACAGTCAAACATCCAGTCACACAGGCTCTTACACCAACACAACATTACAGGCTTTTTACACAGTATTACACCACATCTTATTATCCCATTCAAGTCCCTCTATTAGCTCAATTGGATGGTGGGATTTTCATTTGTAAATTGGGGGATTTCAGATTAGCTTGTCTGTCAGCGATGAAATGCCCCCTGAGACTGTGAATTATGTGACCAATCACATATGAATCAATGCTTACGCATGCTGCAGCTGCATGAATGGATGGTGTCAGCAAGAAGAATTAAAACAACTTTAACCTAGATTACGTGTTGGGTGTACAGTACACATATTTAATCAATGGTCACAGCTGCAATGCACAAATGCCACCGTTTCAATGTACACCCCACAATAAGCAGTGTAGGCTTTATGTGGCAAATAATATTCAGGTCTAATGGGGAATTATTAAAGAGATAAATATTAGCTTCCGTACACACCTAGCAGCAACATTATGCAGAACTGAAGCTGGTTGGTTGAAAGGAAACGAATGAATTACCCCTCTTCCTCCCCGGGCCTTCCATTCAGATACAGAGTGAGGGAAAGAGAGGCAAGAGAGAGGAAAAAAGGCACCCCGAGCTAGTCGAGAGACCCGGCAAATTATGAAAATGCCTCTCTGTGTCCTAAATGGAGGCCGAGCTCTTTAATGTGGCACAAAATTAGAACCTGGGGGAGGAAGTGTGGCCCGCTTGATTGGCGAAACCCCTCCTGGCCCACTACCCCCCTTCTTCTCAAAGCACACTGAGATATTATCCAGTGCCTAGTGGCGCTCTCTTGTACTGGGAAAAGTGAAGGACCCCAGAGAGAGCCCAGGGGCGTCCATAAAGGTGCCTAATTTGTCAGTTTACTCCTCAATTATTTAAATAGATCTAAGAAGGGAGCGGAGAATGAGGCTTTTTCCTGCCTCTTCTCAGTCAAAGCAGAGAGACCTTTCTCCACGGTAGCCATTTTCAATTACGCTCCGCACTGCTGTCTTTGATATACAGAAGTGCTGTAGTGGAGCGGGGCTGTATCAAATAAACAAATGTGTGTACACAAGATAACAACGGGAACTTGGGGATAATATTCAGCCTGCTCGAAAGAACTCAAAGTTATTTCACATTTACAAATTTGCAGATTAAAACAAACTTTGTGGACACGTGCACACACAGGAAGCACACAGACACACGCCGAACGTTTTTCATCTGCTAAAATGTCACGAGCATATGATCGTACACACCGTACATTTACACTTTTATCCGTGAGGATTAAGGTACGGTTTGGATACAGGGGAGGGACCTATTGTTACTCATCCCTCTGCTCTCCTGTCCATCTACACCATCAACCTACAACCTCATCTCCCGCTATCCTATCAACCACGCACACCCAGCTGGAGTACCAACTCCAACAGCCTGGCAATGCCACCTCCCCGCCAGAGAGACCACTGGAGGTATATGGAGCCTGGGGGCAGAGATTACCAAGCGGTTGAAAATTGATCCTGGAAATAGAGATGTTGTATTCCCCAACCCTCTGACCTCTAATCCCTCGGATATCTTCCTCTATTGTTTGGTTTGATTTACTATTGGGAGGAGGCTGTGTGGGCTAAAGAGGACCAGGATGCTGTGAAGCTGCAGGGGGGTCCACAACCTGATCACTCACAGGTTTTTGGTGCAGGCAGGTAACGGACCCTCTCTTTCTCTAACAGCTGTGCCACAAACCCCAAGTGAGATAAACTCATCTCTCAAACAGTAAATTTCAATAAGCACTATTTATACGTAGGCAGCATTGGCAGTGCAGGATCCAGCTGCAGTACAACGGTATAGGTGCAACCACACAAAGACATGAGCAGGAAGACAATGTCAGTTTTTTTTTTTAAACACAGTAAAGAAACTTGCAAATACAACATACAAACAGTAACACAATGCAGGGCACTACAAACACCTGTACAAATAAACTTGCACACATGCTGCACCTGACATGCAAACACTGGCCGCCACACACTGTGGAAACACAAATCAAGAGTGATGGCAAACGGAAACCTGAGAAAAGTCAATCATGATGTCAACACAGACTGATGTTAATGGGCCTAATTCTACGCAATACACATTCAGGAGAGCAGTTAATTTAGCTAAGATAACAGTAGTGCTACCTCTGAGAGAAGTTTAAGGTTACAGTGTGCCTGCTCACAGGAGTTGGTGTTTCAGACAAACCTGCAGGCAAATGTTGTTTTTTGAATACATTTGCATGAAGGAAGTGAAACTCTTGAGATTTAGAATGACTTTTGTGGTAGAGTCCAGTGCACACAGAGGCACTGCATGGGTCCAAACTCAGCACCTCCTTACACTTAGACAAAAGTGAGAACTGTTTATCTGCTTTAAGTCAGCTTTTTTACATTTTCTCATACATGTTTACTTGATACATACAGTACTGTCTTCTATCTTTACCTCTTGCATTCATGAAAAATGCCAAAGGTAATACAGTTTGACAAGTACAAAATAGTATTTTTGCACCAATAAGTAGAGTCGCAAAGAGCTATTAGCTGAAAACTAGGCATGTTTTGGCATGGTGTGCAATGTGTCACAAAAAAACTGAGGAAACTCGATGAATAGAGGACAGAAGAAGTGGCAGGCCTCAAAACCATCTACTGCCTAACTAAAGGCTCATCAGAAAAGGTCTCAGTGGCTGTTAAGAATTCCTTCTTGTGGAAGGGAAGCAGGGTGAAAAAAACTGAGGTATTCCAACTTAGACAAGAACAGGACTGGAAATCAGTAGTGGAGGGATGAATGCAAGCCTGGCCTCCCCAGAGCCTGCACCTCAATGTTACCAAAGGAGTGTTGGATCATTTTGACAGAAGAAAAGGCAGACAGCATCCAGAGAAATATTACTAAAGACAACTTAAAGAAAATACAAGAAAGCTTGCCTACGAGAGTTCAGGCTGTGTTGAAGAATAAAAGTGGTCATACCAAATATCGACTTTCAAGCTTGTTAGAAATGTACAAACTGTTTTTACCTCATATACTGTATCTCCATGTACGCTTGCATGTTTCAATAAACTGCTCAGGACTTGGACAGTACTGTACTTGAATAAGTCACTTTCATGACTAAATCATAGTATGAAATGAAACATACGAGGCTTAGGAGGAAAAAAAACATTTCTTTTTGCATGGGACAGCAATGTTAAGCTAACAAATATGTGCAGACTTTGGTAAAAGGCATTGGCAACCTTTACAAGGATGGGTGGCACCTGGTAAACATCCTTGACACAGGTTTCTCATGCTTAAGAAAGGGATCTGAAGGCAAAGTTTTTCAGAGTGTAAGATTTTGCAAAATCTGTGGCCAGCTCAGTATATCATGCCTCTCACACCCTCTATTCTCTTCCCAAACACTAACCAACACACCCCAGCCCTCCGCCTCCTTCCACTCCAAGCTCCCATCCAGCCAGAGAGAGGAGTGGAGATAGGCCCAGTTGCTAAAGCTGTCTTTTCAGCCCCTGCTCCCGCTCGGTCTATCTGAGATACACAGCAAGCGGAGGTGTCGCTTTTCCGCTGGCATTTCGGACAGTATCTACTTATAGACGAGAGAAAAGGAGAAAAGAAAAACAGAAGGGGTATTATCAGGGAGGGATGAGAGCAGCAAAGGCATTTTGTCTTTTTATTCCCCTCCTAAGCCCTGGGCTTTGCTCCCAATCCGATTGGTCGATACGGCCAGGGATGTAAATGAAATGCAAAGAGGAATAAGGCTGGCTTCCCATCTCCAGTGTGTGCCCCCCTAAGTCCCCCGCCCCTCTTTCTCTGTCTCACTCTGTCTTGCTCTCTGGCTGTTTATGGCGTTGTGTTTCTGTTTCCCCATTCACAGACTTGCTGCTCTCCCTGTTTCTGTCTCACCCTCCTCACTCTGCCTCTGCATCCTCCCCCACTTCGCGCCTCTCCCTGGCTGGGCTCACAGCTCTTATCTCCTCAGACGCCCCACATTCCAGCGTTGCCGTGGCTCCCTGCCTGCATCCCTGGTCACGGCGATTCCATGGGTTCCCACAATCCTCGGCAGCTTGCTGATTTAGGGTGGGCAAGTGACTCTCAGAAACGGGAGAGAAGAGGAACAGAGGGGTTACGGAAAGACAGAGTGAGAGGGGGTGGGAGGCGAGGAGGGTGGGTGACAAGAGGGGGATGATAAAAGGAAGGTAAGGTAAAATAAGAGGGGATGAGCCATGTGGCAGCAGATAACTGATGTAAACATTAAACTACACCAATACAGTCAAGTGAAGTTAAAAAACACGATTTAAACTCGCATTATTAATTTGCCTGCAATGTCAAAACAACAAATGTGATAACATTTTTGATCAAAAATACTACATTTCGGATCAGAGCACAAAAATACGTAAAAAAATCTTTATTGAAATATTTTAATCTGTAGAAAGCAGAATGACAGTTTCCCTCTTGTTTTTATGTGAAACCAAACCATCTGCGCTACAGCAGGTCGAACCTCATCATCCAGCCAGCTGACAGCCGCTAACCAGGCCTGCGAACACAGAGGGCAGATTACATTCGGAGAAAACTGCACATGCACTCACTGTCCCTCGCTTTCCGCTGGTATCTCAAACAGCAGGCTTCTTCAGAAACCTTTTATAAAGCTTATGGCAAAATGCTGATTTGACCTCTGCACAACAAATTTCATGGCACGAGGTTCATTAACATCAACACTAACATTTTTAAAAACAGTGTGTAACCGATGCGTCAGATACAAGGGCGTACTTCAGGGGTGTTCTTCAAACAACCCTGGTCCAGTCAGACTAAGTTTGACGGCACCTCTTCCCGACATTCACAGACCTGAGATTCCATTTTTCTGTGAGTCGAGTATTGAAAATCTTGCGTATCTGCGTTTGTCCGTGAACTTTCCATGACTTTGTGTCTCTCTAATGATCAAAGCATTTTGCTTTTCAGTGTGCCGATCTGTTTATCGAATAGGTTTATGAGCAATTCTGGCAAGGAGAGGGGGCTGAGTGGAGATTTAAGCATGTTCTCACACACATGCAGACCCAAATCAACATAGATGCCCACATGGGCACACGCACGAACGCACCTCTAAAAGGGTCCCTGGCATTGTGACATTTCACATTTCATTTAAATCCAAGCGGGATTACCGCCCTCATGTTAGGAAGGAAGAGAGAGAGGGGGGGGTAAAAAAGCACTCATCGAATCCATTAGTTTTAAACATTTAAAGGACCATCTAAGATAGACTGATGGAAGGATAGAGGGGTGGGTGGGTGTGTAGGGCTGCCACTGATGTGGAGTGAGGCTGCGTGGCACAGCACAAGTCTGTCCTAGATTAAACAGCCGCTCTAATCCCCCATTTCTGCCCCCAAATTGGGTTTCCCTCAATCTCGGTCTTGCCATCCTAATGTGAGAAAAAGAAGTAGAGCAGAGGCTGAGGCAGAATAATCAGCACGTTAAAAGCTCTGAGAGCAGAATAGGAAAAAAAAAAGGGGGGGAGAACGAGATGTAACGATAAAGCAATTGAATGGGTGACTTTAAGAGAAGCGTGCAGAGCTTGATTGAGGTCAGGCAGGGCTTCCTAAAGTCATGCCCTGCCGCTGGTCAACTGTAAACATTCATCAAATGAGACGTAGCACAGTGTTAGCTCTGTTTGGTAACTTCAAACAAGAACTTATCCACCAGCATTTCCCTTCATTTCAAATTCTGACATACAAGTCCAATTTGGCACAGTACATTTAGCCAAACTTAACACCAGTGCACCAGTCTTGATCCACATAGAGCGTCACCTTAAAACCACACAAAGAGGCACATTGGCTCAGCCATAATTTCCATTGTTCCAGCTCCGTGGATCTTATGGGGTTTGCCTCCGGCTCTGTCGGAATCTGTCTCTCTCTTGGAGCAGGTGAGTAATGGCTGAGCGGATGGCGGGTGCCTGGGGATCAGTGGGATCCTTCTCTAAGTAAAGACTGAAGTGCTGGACACTGCAGGTCAGTAGGCTGTCTGCACTGTAACCCCTGTGACCGGAGCGGAGCAGCCTCTCGCAAGCCAGAGCCAGGTTCTTGTCCCAGTTTGGAGGATAGTCGGAGTGGGCCTCAACAATCTCCTTATATAGCTTCCCGGCAATTAAAAAAAACAGAGATAAACATAAAAACATTCATGCTTTTCCTGATGCATTTTAATCTGCCCTACTGTGGTAAAGTGTTTGCAGGTGGGGGTCAGACTCACAGTGTAAGACAGCTCAAAGAGGCGAGCTTTCCCCTCTCCCTGCATCCTTTCAGCCAGGTCAAACAGAAAGAAAGCCGTCTTCATCCTGAAACAAAGCACGCAGGCTCAGGGCTAAGTGCTGGATGGATGAGCCACGCAGATCTACACTCTCAGACGCACCACTCCAATGGAGTGATTTATGTAGATGCCGGCACCAAATACATTGTACGTGTAGATGTTTTACCACACAAGACTGGTTTATGGAGATGTTCTGGTGGGGCAATATGCATCGTGACACAGCTTTTTATTTACGCTCGAAAGTATACATCCACTTCAAACAAGAAAACTAGCATCCGCTGTAAAGCATTCAGCATACCTGGCTTGCCACATCTCTTCATTAGCAACACGCTCCCAGGATGCAGGATGGAAACTGTTCATACATGGGGAGAAAAAAAATCATTTCTTTATCTAAACCACCTTCAGGCACCGCGCTGGCTTATTCACAGTTCCACTAACTATAAATGATTATTTATGTGAATATATTGTTCCACTTGGCTGTGCAGGTTTTGATACACTAAACATCAATGTTTGCTGCATAAACATTAAGTGACTGAGCAACAATACCAGCTAGCACATTAGACATGGAGTAAAACCACATCTGCCTTTTTTCCCCCACTTTGTTGACTGTAAACACTTGACCTCTTCTTCAAAAGAATATTTTAGCAGGGTTTCCGAGCTAATATTTGGCTTGTGGGCATCGGCAGACACGCTTGTCGTGAGGGTGCGGGAAATAATGTCACAGTATTCAGCCGTGGATATCTGAGTGAATGAAGGGCTCCTGGCAACAGCAACAAAATATGGAGCTTTGACTAATTCCACTTTTGACACAGTTATTGACAAAACGCAATAAGAAACTCATTATTTTTCATCTTCAGTCTCATTTCAGATGGCTAAGGGCCTAATGTCTTGCTCTGGTAAAATTCACAAAGAGCTGGATCACAGCATGGAGAACAGAGGACAAGCCCACTGAGGGACGTTCTGTGGAGTCTGTGGAGGGACGACTGAAGACCACAGAGAGAAAAGTGAGCACTGAGATTTTTTCTTTTCACTGCAAAGGATTTGTTTATTTTCTTGGCCAACAGCAGACCTTAAAAATTAAACCATGCTAATTTTTAACCATTTAAAAATCAGCGACGCTGAAATGTTATGAAAATTCAAATGAAGATCAAAGAGATCTAACTTTTCTAAAACCATTTAACAGGTTAGGTTGAATTTCAAAGCAATGAGGATAACATGACATCCCCAACACCAATCTAAATATAAATTATTTTAATAGTATAATCCAGGCTGAAATACGCATGAAGGTAAGAGTTAACTGTTAACCTGTTGTGTGGATCACTCCAGTTATAGATATTGCGTGTACGATGAGCCCACTCTTCAGGGTGAAACTGCTTCTGAACGGGCGCTAAGTAGTCGCACACACCCAGGGGCCAGCGGGAATAACTGTGTTCCCAGCTCAGGTCTCCATCAGGAAGCCCGATGCAGGCAAACACATCCCTCCTGCAGAAAAACAGAGACAAACTCTTAAATAGAGGCGTGCCCTCGGTTTTTATCTCCGGGTAGCTGTTTATAATGACACACACAGTGACAACATGGAGACAGAAATTTCCTCACATCCCAGCACCTTCTAGGTTCCCATCAGCCCTGCGCTTCTCACAGACCCCGAGGGTTAATCCCGCAGGTCAGTGTTGCCCCCACAGAGATACATATATGTTGGCCTGGCAAACACTGCCCCCTGGTGGGCTTGGTATTAACAAGGCACTATCCAATTTCTGGATCTCAGTTCCTCCTGAAGGGGTGAATCATGGGAGCAGCAGCAAGTCCACCAGAGACCGTTTAACCAAATCAAGTAGATTAGCTGACTTTTGTAGCTCATCAGACTCCTTTTATGGCCTCAACAGTTCTGTGGGCTTATCTTGTGCTTGCACTGTGTCGACCATTCTGCTGATCTCTGCCTCATTAGATCACCCACTTGTTCATTGTTGCCCTCCCAATTCACTCACTCTCTCTCTCTTTCCATTTAACATCCTTTTATTCCCCCTCTGCTCTTTTCATGTGTCTGAGACACTCACTGCGTGTTGCGGGACAGAAATTGATCGAGACTGAAGGTGCCTTTCTCCTCGGGGTTGACCGGGTCCCACCAGCGGCCGGGAAAGTGGATCCCAGGGTGGTGCTGTGCCAGCTTGGCCACATACCAAGCATATGTCATCATCTAGTGAGAACAAAGAGCACCACCAATCCCAGAGAAATATTTATAACCAGTCGATTATCAGTTAAACAATCATCAGTGCAATTAGTTTAAAGGGATTTTTGTGTCATTATATCTTAAAGCAACTGATGAATCATACTGATAACATATACAAACTAATAAGTATATAAGACAACACAACCAATTTATAAGGCCTCTACTTGCTGACTTAAGGGTCTAATTTACGATTTTCAATGAATTTCTTTCAGTTACCACAAAGCTGATTTTTACATTTTGCCAAAATATGTAAAACATTATATTATCATGAGAAATCACACTTCATTCACATTTTGTCCTTTATTTTTTAAATCTCTTTTGAATATAGTGCGGTTTTAATGGACAAGAAAAATAAGACAAAACAATTTCGTCATAAATAAAATTCCTTAACTTATATTATGAAGGAAAAATCTTTTCAATACAGGGAACAGGGAAAACCTCCTGACCTCCTGATCAACCAGGCGTACATCAGGCCGTACGCCCTGGCAGTAGTGCAGGTATCGCAGAGAATTTCCAGGCAGATCTCCTCTGGTCAGGATGATTGAGTCTTTGGAGAAGGAGGCCAGAAGCTCCCTGCCGAACCTCTCCACCACAGTGTTCCCACTCTGATCACACTCCCTAAGATCATCAGCACATATGCAAGCAATTACTCTACACTAGCATCAAGACAGAAGTTGCATTTTCTCCCATTTTAAAAATGGTTAAACACATCTTTACCCCTGCTCAGAAGTGTGTGTGAGATGTGTGCGGCAGTGTATATGTGAGTGTCTGTAGGTACGCTTTCAAGGTGCTCTGAGGGTAAGTTGTCAGTGCCCCCGCCCCTTCCCCTCACTCTAGCTGCCTATCTAATCGTGGGGAGACAGGTGTGATGGGTCTGACAGCACAGGCCATGCTCTCCCCTTGATCAAAGCCGCTCAGTGATGGCTGTCTGGCACTCCCCAGCGCTACGCTGGTGTAATCTGCCTTCTCGGACAGCTAACATCTCAGACTGAGCTCTGAGAGTAGAATCTATGTGCTAACCGTGCCTCTCTTTAGCCCCTACCATGGGGTGAGCAGAGAAAAACCTGACATGTGGAGTTCAGACCTGCAGTATGAAGCGCAGAGAAGCAAAAGAGAAACAAATCAGGTTGACTCAGGAAAAACTGTGCATGGGGATTTTAGAAGGAGCTAGAAGAGGGGAGTTTTTACATCATTTAAAGTTTACAAAGCAGAAGTATTTCACTTCATTCTTCATATGCATTTGGGTTCAGTGTAGTTACTGCAACATGAATAATGTAAAAACATTAAATTGACAGATACATGGATTGCAGAGCATCTGAAAAGAAACCGTAAGACTCGAGCTGTCGGACACAAAAACACTATTAGCGCCTGAAATCACTAATAGCCTGTAGAAGAAAAAAAACAATGCAGCTACAATAATTATGTCCACTGTGATCAAAATCTTTGCTGTTAAGAATTAGTTTTCTAATTGTCTCCAAATTCAGACGTTACAAAGCCCTAACTCAGCCCTTTTACTGCAAATATACAACAGTGGAAATGGAACTGTAAGGATTTTGTAAGGAGTTAAAGTTCGGAGCGCTGGATTTTTAAATTAAACAATGAGAATACATTTAAAGTGCTGCCTTTGCGTTCCTTTGGTAGTGTCTTTATTCACATGCAGTGCAATTCTGAGGCCGGGGCCAAAATGAGTCTAACTGCAACAACACAACAAATCTTCAAATTTAAAGTCAGCATTTTAAACTCGTTGCTTGAAATCTACCATTTTAGACTTGTGCAATGAAAACCACTGTTGCACACCACAGTAATTCCTGACTGTGTATCGACAGCACTGCAGATTTTCATCACACCAAACAACAGCAAGCTTGTTACTGTTAGCGTGTGCAATAGTCACCTGTGATTGGTGTGCACCATATGTGCCAGCAGAGCTGCAGTGAAGACCCAGCCTGTGGTCTTCCACAACCCCCCATAGCCCAGCCTCCTCTCCAGCCCAGCTAGAGTCCGGCTCAAGCCGAGGCCTGCCAGCACACACACTGCAGCATCGCTCTGGAGCCAGAAACGCTCAACCTGCAGGAAGTGACCATACAAGTGTATACCACACACACACACACACACACACACACACATACAAATAAGTGTTTTCTGTAGTTTTTTTTTGCTTTGCTTTGTTTTTTTCTGGGTTTGCTTTACCGTTGGACCAGGATCAGCATCAACATACAGTACGCTGCTGTAACTGTGGTTTTATTTCAGAATATTGAAAACTGAGACAAACTTGTAATTCAATGCTGAGCACAAGGTGTGATGCTTCAGCTATGATATGAGAAAAGATGTCTGAGAACATAAAAGTCTTATAGCTCACCACTCCGAGCAGTAAGGGTCTGCTAATGTCCAGGTTGGCTCTCCATGCAAAAAACAGCGAGTAGACCACCAGCATGACAGTTAACAGCCAGGACACTGAGCGACACCTCCTAGGACGGGACACCTCGGGTTATTCAGCGCACAAATATTTAACCAGCTTTCCTTTTTTTTCTGCATGCACAGTCTGCCATTTCCATATTTTTAGTCTAATGTATCACTTTGTCTATTTACTCTGTAAAAATATACTTGTTTTGAATAAGTCTGTAAGAATATTAATGCACGGACGGGGATCACAAGCCTGAGAGAAAACGTATCTGCCAGCAAGCTAAGAGGTGCATGATTGATTTTCTAATGCAGACTGAGTCATAATGAGCCGGTGCCAACCGCTGAATCACAAACTCATTACAGTACAGCTGTAAAACGTTCTTATACACCAAAAAGAAAAAATTTCCCCTCGTGGCAAAAAAATAAGCCATCGTCCGAACCTGAAGAGACAAGCTTTCAGGTTTCCTGCCAACAAACTGATTTGCTGATCTCCGTCAGCCGGACACTTATAATCACTCAAGCTTTTCTTGATTTACGTTTTCCTTACTTACAAGCACCATAGCTAAAAAGCAAATGAAATCATATTTATAACCTTACACTTTAACATGGGGCAAATAAGCATTTGCCGGGTTTCCTTTGGGCAATCTATTAGACGACCTTCCTCTTTTTCATCATCTGTCTGTGTATGTAGCCAAGTTTATTGAAGTGCACCTCGGGAGAAGGGGAATAGCTTGTGCCCTGCGGGGCTTTGGGGCATTACTGGGGCTTTATCAGCTCCACCCAACAGATCCCAGCAAAGGCTCTCCTGTAATGAATTACAGGATCACGCTGCCACATATAGATGCATACAGGCAGTGATTTACTTGTACACACAAACATGATTTTGAAAATCCAAAATACACATCAAATCCTCTTGATCTGAATGTGGAGCGTCGTGACAGTTTGACAGTTAGGTGCCTCAGTGTTGTTTTGTATTCTTTTTTTCTAAGATCAGCATTTTGTCAGTGGTTTTGTTCCCCGTCTTTTACTCCAGGGGATTAGATTTTTGTAGTTGAAGTGGGTGCTGAGATGTGCGTGACAGAGTTTGGTGTGTTGCACGCTGGCATCCGACTCATCCTTACCTGTCCAATGAGGAGAGCGCAAAGCCCATTCCTGCCAGTACCAAGACAGGAAGTGAAAGTTCTGCCAGGGAGTGGTCCAACTGAGCCCTGCACGCACAAACACACACAGAGACATGACGGACACCGAAGACAAGCTCAGTTAGCCTCCCTGCTACTGAACTCAAGGACACCAATTATTAAATGCCCTTCATCCCCTATCAAAACAAACTCCTTGGACTGTGCACTCCTCCTTTCAATCGGATTGACAGATACGAATGACTGTGTCATCCACCCCCCACAGCCCCATCCTCTCCTCACAGCGCCTGTCAGTCACACAGCGCTTGCTCAGAGCGGAGAGATAGTTTCCTGCCTCTTCCTTAATACCCATCTCTATTTGACAGCTTATTGAGTCTCTATATCTCCCAATGTACACTATGTGTGAATGTGCTCATGAGCGTGTGTTCGTGTGTGTGTGTGCGTGTCAGTTATTCCAGTGGGTTTACGTCTCCAGTGCGACATGCCTGTCATGTTCGCCTCTCTTCCCCATCTTGAAGGTGTGCTTGTCCATCAAGCAGCAGGGGTGATGGAAAGGGGTGGGTGCTTGGCAGAGGGGGGGCTGGTAGTGGGGGGTCTTAAGACGCACACGCACCCCATCCCGTCAGCTGGAGAAAGATACCAGGAATGGGATGACTGTGGTGGTGGTAGCAGAGGGAAGCAAGGGAGGGAATGGGGTGGAGGGGGTGGGGAGGTGCTAGAGTGGAAAAATACAATTTCTCAAGCTCTATTGCAATGTCTGTCATCACAGCTTGTCACGCTTAAACACCAGAGCTGAGTGATCATTTCAAACTGCTGGAGAAAGAGAACACAGTGATTTGGCCCTCTAAGCAGGTTCAGTTCTGCTTTGATGGGAGAGAGTGGAATGGGAAGAACAAAAGCTGCTGGGGAGAGTAAGGGAAGAGATGGGCTGCAGAAATGACTGTGGGCCCTTATAATGGCTTGGTGTGCGTGTGTATGTGGCTAAACCTGTGTAAATCACCAGAACCATCGCAAAGAGCAGTTGGGTCTTCCATCTCTAGTCCCAAACGTGCCCTCACTGTGCCTCAGATCAAATCGACCTACTTTCCTCCCTTCTCCATCCTAGATCCTACTGTCTAAATAGAAATGAAATACTCAAATCAAACATGCTGGGCAGTTTATGGATGAGAAACATACTGTTTCCTGCGAGACGGACTAAATGTGCTGCTTTGGCCACAAAAACTAGAAATTCTGTGATGTTACTTTGTTCTGGGAAACAATGATGTGAGTTTAGCTGATGTTCATTATACGCATTAAATGACCATCTTGTTGTGCCGTTTACGATATTCAGACCAGGAAGTTTCACGTGCAAACAGCAGAAAGACTGTTTACTTACTGCAGCATTGTGGTCAGGTTAACCGAGCTTTCTGTCTTTGCCTGCAAAACAAAAATCAATGTAAGCTAAGCCAACAGGGTCAGGGTCTGTTTAAATGCAGCGAGGCAAGCAACACTTACCAGACAGAATGTGCCATATTCAGCTCGCAGCAGGTGGGTCAACAGACCCGACAGGGTGGTCTGGTCACCCCAGCTCCAGCGGGCTGTGTTGAGGTAGGATGAAATCGGCAGGTAGATGTACGGCAGGAAGCCAGCGAGGAAACAGAATCCCAGAGATACAAGGCCACGCAAAGACAGCTCCTGTTTAAATACAAGGACAAGATGTTCTTAAATTCATGTTGTCCAAACCGTGAGCAAGAAAGTAAAATGGAACGTGTGTGTGTCAACAAGACTGGAGAGCCTTGTTTGGTCATGCTTTTCCCTAAAAGCCCCTCTTTTCTTAGACCAACAGTAACTTTGAAGTTACGCTAATTTCCAGCTTCATATATTTAGAATTCAGAGTTTAAAACAATCCATATTTATATCTATCTTAAAGCCATTTTAGCTCCTCTCCCTTTAAACCAACTTCCCTCTGATTGGCTGCACTACACAAACAGCAGCTTTTAAGAGGATATGAGAGGAAAATATCTTGTTTTTGAAGTCTTTTTATTTCTGTCAAAAAACTGCACACAGCCTGTTTCTTCTTTGCCATCTATAATTCTCTTTATTTAAAGAGACCCTGTGACTTACCTTTTGAGAGCACAGTCGGTAAAGGACCCAAGGAATGATGACCAACACATACAGCACCAGTGTGTGCTGGTTACAGAGCCCCAAGCCACAGCATAATGCCCCCCAGTGTGCAATCTAACAGGGACAACCAAAACAGTGCAGCATTGTGCATTTACATTGAATAAAACATAACCTGTGTGTTGCATCTGTTGTGTGGTGTTTTGAGTTACCTTCTTCCTCTGCGTGGCATTTTCAGCACAGCGGAAACTGGCGGTCAAGAAGAAGAGAAGGCCAATAAAAAGGTTATTGAGGGTAAAGACCTCTGCCACCATGGACCACTGCCAGCTGAGTCTGGACACAGCGAACAGCCCACCAGCCAGCACTGCTCCAGGACCAGGACCTGCCAACCTGAAAGTGTAGAAGAAGAGGGTTTTACTCTTTAGAAAGGACTGCATCGGAGGACAATGACAAGAAGTTAATTACAATCTGGTCAACTAAATTAACTATTGTACTAATTTAACCATCTGGATGTTTCAGTTGTTTAAAACGACTGCATTAAAATGAACCTCAAAAACAGTATTTCTAAAGGCTGCAGAACTTAAATTGCTTTTTTCAATTTTTTTTTATCTAAGTTGCACTGCAACGACACACTGGAAAAAAAACAGAGAGAAAATAACAAAGTCAGCAGCTTCACACAAATTTTAAATGTTGTTGTCAAAAAAGCCACCACTTCCCTATAACTAATTTGGGGACCCATTATAATCTTCCTTCTACCCAAGTTTGCTTCTCGGACAAGACCTTGAAAAACACTCAGCGATTTGGGGTAATTCACATATCATGAGAAGTCCCTCTCGAGCAGCCGGTTGATCTTGAACAGACTGGCACAGAAACCACCGTGGTGGAGATGGCACTTTATCCTCAGCCTCTTAAATATAATGTGTGCACAAAAGTTTTCCCCTTCCTCCTCTCCTGTACTGTCTCCGTCTCCTCTGCGGTAATTGAAGCAAACTTGGGATAATCTGTCATACGCTAAGACCCACCACTTACTAAACTGAGAGACAGAGGGGGAGAGAGAGTGAGGCGACAAATGATGGGGAGAAGGGAAAGAAAAGGAAAATAGTGCAGAAAAGTGTGCATTAAAGGGGTGAGACAGTGTGCGGGATGTAGGATGAAATATAGAAAAAGGAAGAAAAAAGTTCAAGAAGAGAGAGGGGAAAGAAGAGAAAAGGAAAAAAAGGCAACCCAGTCCCCAGCATGCTGGCTCTGAAATATGAGCAGGCTCGACAATTAGGGAAGTCAGGCAGTATGGCCCTTTCCGCCATTGTGTGGAGTGGCTTAGAGTCCTCATCAGCCTATCAGCTAACTGACAGGCAGAGAGCTGCTCTATTCAGCACCGCAGATACAAGCTGCAGGCCAAACGGCTGCCAGGTCCCTTATGACCCCACAATCCCTTGCCGGTGACAGCTTCAAGCTCCATAGCAAATTAGGCGCTCTCACATTACAATCGCAGAAGACAGATTCCATTAACGGTATCTGAAATTGAGTAGAGAGCAGGCCCGTTATCAGACCTGACTCATAAGCACCGCCATTAATCACAAGGCATGATACCATTTATACATTTCCAGCTCTCTGCCTGCCGCTGTGATAGTCAGCCACAAAAGGCCTGATGAGACTTAGGCTAGGGGAACAATGGAGCTTTCTGAGGAAAGCGCGGTAAATCAGGAAAAAAAGGAGAGGGAGAGCGAGAGAAGGGTGGAAAAAAAAAACTTTAGCTTGCTGACTACTTCCCCTTTTATTCTTGGGTTTTCTCTCTGCTACTCTCCACTATTTTTTTCTGTGTTCTCTGTAAGGCAAGCCTGCTGAATGAGCACACGTATGTGTGTGCGCATGCACTTAATGGGGTTGGGGGGTTGTGGCGTCTAGGAGTGGGTCTTAATAAGCGATAGCAGCGACTTCCTCGCTGCACCGCTCCAGGAATTAGTTGTAACTTGAAGGAAAAATGAAGAAGGGTGGCGTTTCTAGAGGGGGGTGGGGGGATGCAGATGGGGACTTTTGTTGAGGTGCAGAGACCTCCCGCACCCATTATTTTACCTCCTCACATGACAATTAACCCACAGCTCATGCACCTAGCGGGGGGCTGGTTTGGGGGTGGCACGGGGTGCAGAGCAGTCATGGGGGTCCCAAAGAAGGGGTTATTACACCAAGTCTGTTCCTCCTTCTGAAGCTCGTCTGATAGCTCAGCACTCGTCACATATTCAAAGACACACACACACAGGCACACACTTCTGTTCCTGAACTTCTTTATTCTCCCTGAGTGCCTGACAAATCTCTCTGTTAGAGCTTGTCAGTCAGTAAGAAGCCAGTGATGTGTGTACAGTGCAGCCTGTAAATGACCTGTCTGTCTGCGCGGGACCACCTGGGTCCCAGTCAGCCTCTCCACAGCTCATTCTCCAGGCTGGCTGCTCCCAGGGCGCTCGGATAAAGCAGGACACATTTTGACACCAGTGTGGCCGTGTTCCCTGTTATCACGACTCAGTGCTGTGCAGGATGCTGCCGCTGTACTGAAATGTTGTGGCTCAGTGACAATGGACTGGTTGGGACGTGGCAGGAGAATAACACGGCTGACAACGAGACTATTCAACCCTGAACTGATCCAACCTGCCAAAAAATGCCTGCGTCATCACTTGGGTAATTAAGGAATGACCAATATGCTTAAAGCCTGAAACGAAACACAAACTTGGAAATAAAGTAAAAAAAACTATCCATAATTCAACTTGAATAATATGAAAGAGGAGCACAGGCTGAAAAGGGAGGATTAAAGGTAAATAAAATTAAAAAATGACAATGATACGAGAGACAATGTCCCCTTCAAGGACACAATAAAGGCTCAGTATAATCACTTTGAAGTGTCAAAATGAGAACCTGCCTCATTTACACACTCGGTTCTACAGTATGGGCCAGAGACATGCCAGCATCGGCCGTCTGCGCTAAACAGCATCACACAAAAACCCTACACCAGCACTCTGCACTGAATGAAGCTTCACAATGGAGCTGGCTAAGAGAGCCGCTGTTACACACCACCCCAGGGAACAGACAATACCACAGCTGTGCCATCGCGGATCAACAACGCACTGTTCTCTAACCGAGTGGTGGTTTGGGTTAAGCGGTGCTGGAAAACAATCACACATTCCTGAAGAGGGTAAAAAGCCCGAGAGAGAGGGGGTGGCCTTGCTCGGGCTGAGGCTGAGGTTTCCAGCTGGCCCGAGCAAACACCCCAGGGCTCCCCTCTGGCCGGGACACCAGGCAGGCTATTTAGCAGCTATTATATGACAGGGGTATGATGTATTGCTTTGAAGTTTCAAAGCCAATCTGCAACTGATACACAAACATTAAGGGATGTCAGTAAATCAAAGTATTGGCTTTGATTTAGTACTACTAAATGACCCAATGTTAATTTTCTTTCAGAGGAATTACATCATGACAGTACGATCGAACTGTTTTACGATTTTATACATTTCTGCTGTTTCGAGTTCATATGGGTTAAGTTCTTTTGTCACATGAGAGCAGAAAGATTTGTAGATTTCTGGGTTATCAACAAAAGATGCACTTCAAAAAACACGACACTGGAGTTTAAAATCTAAAAAAAAATATGCAATGTGCAGTATTACATGTAGAGTCAAGAGCTTAATTTATGCTTGAGAGTAAAAGCCAGGAGATGTTCGTTTCTGCTGTTGTGATTATTATACATTCATCATCTATCAGCTGCACAATTGTTTAGGTATGCAATGCTATATTTATTTTATATGTTATTTAAACAGAAACATAACAATCGTGTTATATGGTGATATTACTGTTGATATTAGTAATATGGCAGCACTGACATCCATACAGTTACCCTTTCACTTCCCTTTAATAGATAAAATATTGATTATAATTACCTATCATATATATTTTAACTTTGCTAGCTGGTGGAATGACCACTGGAATGACGGCTGTTTATGATATTTTTCCCGATTATTTCATCTTAAACTACAATAAGAACTAACTGAGAAAATCTGATTTCTAACTGACGTCCACACTGTATGTTTCAGGAGGGGAAGAAAAAGTCTAACAAGTCTCCAAACCAAGCACTTCCCCATCTTTCCTTCCCCCGTGCGGTGTATGAAGAAGACGCTGTCTGTTTGCGCTGAAAGGAGGGTAAACACGGGTCCTGGCTCTGCCGCTCAGACACCCCTCCTCCAAGAAAGCGCTCCAGCGCTACAAGTGCGTGTAAAATTAATCACCACAATTCTGTTCAAACAATGCAGCCACTGACATGACAATTTCTCCCAGAATGCCATCTTAATCTCCACCCAACACACAAAAATTACAGGAAGAGGGGGGTGAAAAAAAAAACAATTTAGAAAAATCCCGTGTTTATGCAATTCACTGAATGCCATTTTTTATTGCTGCTTTTTTCCAACAAAGTCATTAGGCACACACCAGTGATACATAAATGTTGCTGTATAGATTCCATTAACTAATTCTGGGTGAATTGTAATTGCCGAGTCTGATCCGTCTCTGTGCCTGGTGCCTTATTAAGACTGCCTGTGGTGGGTGAGGAATGTAATATTGACGTCCGAAGCAGACACAATCTCGGGCCCACGGGCAAAAGGAATATTAAACTGGTACTGTATTCTGCTGTCTATCTAGCCCTCCTCCCTCCTCCGCTCTATCCCCATCCCGTAGCCAGTAATGAGGAAATAACATCTTCATTAGACATCTGTTTAACTGTATTAGAGGATGAGTCCTGGGGGAACCATTGGTCATGCTGAGGAGGGTGGGAGTAAAGGAGGTCTGTTGGACTACAATGTGACGGATGAGATACTGCAGAATAGGAACAAAAGGTCCAGCGATTGAGGCCTTTTAAACAGACAAACTTAAAATTGTCTTCTGCATTTTCATAAATAAATTTTAAAAAATAACAGTAATGGGTGTATTCTCTATGGATACTTGGGCTGAAGATTTTATCCAAGAGTAGCAGACGTGAGAGGGAGGGGCATCCTTGCCACCTACAGGAAGAGGTGAGAGCATTACCCAATAAAACAACTCTGTTCAGCTGTTTTTTGGATACAAACCCACATCAGTGGTTGCTAAAAACAATTCCCCCACACGTCGCTCCTGACACGACCTCAACAAGACACACACAACCCCACCCCTTTTGGAAAAACAACCCACCTGAGCAAGGAGAGAAAGCACCATCGGGACCATATGGTGGAGGTCCTTATAAGGAGCTGGGGATGCAGCATGCGGCAGGGGATGGCACCACGCCCACCCTCCCGTCCACTGAGGTGTCAGCTGTGCCACATGGGCTAGCTCTTGGCAGGGGAGCCTTTCGCAGGTGTGCGGTTTTTCTCTCGAGGGCCACCGGGGAAAGAGGGAGGCCAGACACGTTTGGTGTGCTTCAACGGGCCTGTTATGTAATCATGTGATCAAACCGAAAAGTGCTGATGACTGAGCGGGGCGAAGTTGGGGGATTTTTTCTGCTGTGATGGCTGTCAGCTCGCTAACGTGTCTGCTCGCGGTGTCTCGGGATAAGCTGGGGAATGGAGAGAGATTCCTCTCAGGTAGCAGAGATTCAGAGCAGCTTTAGCAGATAAACTATGAAACGAGAGAGCACAAAATACAGAGCTGTCTGGATTATCCCGCTACGCATTCCTCCAGAGACTCACAGCTGAGGCCTTTAGCATTCCACCAGCCAAATGTTTCTCTCTGTGAACCTCCAAGTGCAATCGATAGTAATTATCATTACGTCCACCATCCTCAAAGGCTTGTCAGGCCGTGGTGTGAAAACATAACAAGACATGCAATTCGGCCATCAAACTATATGATCAAGCAAAGAAAACTGTAATTGACAAATCAAAGGGAAGCTAAATTGCTACATTTAAACTTATGCAAGAGAGAGAAGTGGCTTCCAAGCCTATCAACTTACATTCCCCCACATTAAACACGGCAATCTGGCCGACTAATTTAAATTGATACATCAAAGGCTCACAATGTTGGGTATATTCCAGATGAATTTCAAGGTCTTACCATTTATTATTTGAGAGAAACTGACTTCGAGTACCCGTATTAACTTCAAAATATTTTGCCATCTGAACATAATTTCACAAAGCAATAATTTGTTTGGGAGGGTGAGGTCGGCCTATTTCCCAGCAAATGAAAACCAAAAAAATGAGAAGTAGTTACAAAAAAAACTGTTTCGGAGGGCCAACAAAGGGACAAAAACAACAAGTGACATTTAAGAAATTAATTATGTTGGGACACAGCACACTCACTACGAGGGCAGAGCAGGTATGAACGGCTGGTCAGTTTTGGCATTTCATCTGAGGGAAAGGCCTGAACAGAGGGTCTCTGCATGGCCGTGGCATTTATGCCAGTATTGTTGACAGGGTTAAATCACACAAATGCCCTGCACGCCAGAACCAAGAAGCAGGTCTCGACCATCCGGGAACCCTCGCCCAGTTCTCTCATCTTTTGCCCTCTCCAGTAACCCCCCAGTAACCTGAGTGTGCCAACTGATCCACAGCCTCATAGCTCATCCCAGTCTAGGCCCTGAACAGATAATGACTAAAACCTTTTATGCTTATTTCTCTAAACTGGAAGCGTAGATTATACATTCACACTTAAGAGCTTATATGGTGTAACTGTGCGCTCTGGATGAAGTCCTCACCACTCATCAACCCTAGCTGGCGGTTGTGGGTAAGGGGGGTTGCAGAGCCTTTTAATGACTTTTTACTTGACCATAATCCACAACTGGATCTAAATCCCCCGAGATTATAAACTGGGGCTACGGTTAACATGCAAAATAGGAGCCAAATATCAGCAGACTGCATGGATATTTTCAGCCCTCAAAATAACTGTAAATGTCTGGCCAAGAACGGAGTCCAATCAAAAGCCTGAATACCAGGGGAGCAATAAGGATGTCCAGTTAAAGCATGACAAAGAAGTGCAGCGTTTTAACCCCCCCCCCCACCACCACCACCTTTTTTTAACCCTCCTTTTATTGTTTTGTCCTTTTTGCCTTGTCCTGGGAACACTGGTGAAAGCTGGCAGCCTTTGGTTCACCTCTCAGAGACAGTAAGACAGGGCAGGGTCTAAGACTGATGCAGTCTGGGCTTAAGGCCAGTCCCCTGGGTAGCTCTCCCTCTCCAGTCCCTGCCCTACTTCAGCAGGGCTGACCCTGTACCCTGACCTTCTCCAGACCTCCTGCCACATCGCACACACTGGCCAAGCACACAGGAAGCCGGCCCAGCACTGCGCACTTTATAACACACACAATTTCATTTTCACTTGCTGTCCTCCCGCTATCACAGAGTCCTCACAGCCTGCCAAGGTGTGCAGCAAGAATAAATTACATCATATTCAACAATTTCTATTCTAGAAATAGTAACTTAGAAATATATGACATGGTTGGAAACAGCCCAGTATGCACAAACAGGGACAAAAAGGAAAAATGTTGACACTAAGCTGCCACCAAAATGCAGTGTGGAAAATGACTAAAATCAGCAAAAAGTGTGATGTAAGGCAGTCTGGTTAACCATGCAAGATAAACACACAGACAAAGCAGGAAGGGGTAAAATACTCCTTACATGATACGGTCAGCAGCAGGCGAAGCTGCAGGGTGGGTAGATGGCAATGCGGGGACCGTAAACTGTGTTTATGACTGAGCGAGGGGAGAGGTAGTTGACGAGAGGGGAGAGGGAGGAGCGCAGAGAGTGATCCTGTTCCTCTCAGACCCAGGAGGCAAGAAGGGGAGAGATTAGAAATCGTGCCATGTCAGGATTGGGAGCATGCTGGGCAGTGGGGGGGGCAGAAGAACAGGGATGTCGGGTTTGGGGGGGGGTGGAGGGCACAATAATTGGGATATACATACACATACACGCATTCTCACAACGGGTGGCTGATAGGTAAACAGGGAGGGTAAGGTGCTGGGAGGGAGGACGGCGACTGGGTTCTGCTTCTGAATACTGAACAGAGGATCAGGGAGACCACTGCCTGTCAGTCAGGGCCCAAAAATACTACTTTCTGTTCCAGACAGCTTCACGATGCAAAAAGTCAGTAGGGGAATGTTTAAAGACTGCCGCCACTCAAAAATGTCTTCTTATTATTGTTACTTCCCTTGATGTGAGTTAGTCACCAGAAGGCTCCTCTGCTGAAGGAGGGAGGCTCTTTGTGCCTTCCTTAAAGTTCTGTTTGAGAATTTAGTACTTCAGTTACTGATACCTACTCGATTGCAGAGTGCACCAATGTAATTTTTTATACAATAACTAAAATGCCAGAACAGAACATAATGCATCAAGAAATTCTGGAATTGGGAAACACATTTTTCATATGCCTACCTGCAGACAGTAATGCAGAAGCCACCACAAGCTGCAGCCCCCAGGAGGCTACTCATCAGGTTAACGCTGTGGGCTGGAGAGAGTGAGGGCAGCAGACGCATAGCCATGTGAGCCAGTAGAGTGAAGAGTGGGTATCCTGGAGGATGGGCCACCTAAAGACACAAAAACAAAGACAAGGGCCATTTCACACGTGAACTTTTTATCAGGTGCTCCTTTCTTACATGCAGCATGTAGCTGGAGATGCGTTCTTACTGCTATACTAGAGGAAATACTCCATTTGGTTTGGGAAGGGAAGCAGCTTTGATAAAGTGAGTAAGGGGCAAAAACACGTGATTCTGCTCACTACTGTTAAATTCGGTGATCTGCTATTCACACTCTGGCACAATCCCAGAGATCTGGCAGGCAAACCACTGATGTTTAGAAAAAGAGCTGCAGTATGTGTAAAAATAGCTCACAATGTGATGCTATCACAATAGGTTTACCACAATGATGATTGTATCACAATACCTTATACATTAAGAGACAATAATCAATGATATATGCACCTTAACTGTGCAACTTTAAAAAACAGAAGACAAATAGAAGAAAAAATGTATTTATTCCCTGCAATGTAGTGCCAGTGTGCATCACTATGAATTACTTTTACTCCATTTCAGTAATGAAACTGTTTAGTTTTTCAGCTCTCTTTTCCCTTTTTAAATTTCTTCTTCTTCAGCTTCTGTTTTCCCTTAATTATGTGATAAGCGCCGGTAGTGACTCCGGTACATCGGGACTGTGTGGAGAGTCCCTACAAAATTTACTTTTAAAAACTCTGATTTTTAACAACAGTGTACCATATCTGTAATTCTATCGCACAAGAAAGGGATTTAATATATTGCTGTATCAACATTTTATCCTCAGCAGGTAAGCACACGTGAATTTTGCGAGGAGTCAGAAACATCCTGCTTGGCTTTACTCTGACTGTGCTGTCATACGAGAGCCCTACACTCCCTTTCTTTTCCCCTTTTCTCACTTCTTTGCTGCGGGCCTCTTCCCAAGGACAGTGCAGCTCCCTAGAGCCCGTGGTATAACACGTGGTGCTCGCCAGCCTCAACCCCCAAACCACCGCAGAGCCGTAGTCATTTTCGCCTGGGAGATCTTGGCAATCGCAGCAATTAGCCACTAAGTCTCTTCCACCCAGATAAGGGCTCAGTCATTAAACACAGACTCATTCCCTGGCACAGATAACACAAAGCATGCAGGCAGTGAGAAGGGGCAGCTCTTCGAATGAACAGAAAGCCGAAAGGTGAGAGTGTGACTGACTCACCAGTTACCTCGAACACGGCAAAGGATCTTTTTGCAGACATGCAAACAGCTTTGCTAAAATTTGAGTGAGGAGCTGGAAATGGAAAAGGCGCGTCGCAATAACTCGATGAGCAAAAAGCGAGGCTGTAAATATGAGAGAAAAAGAAAAGCTCCAGCAGCGAGAGTGGTGAACTAAATGGTAGCATCACGCAGGTGGGTAACGTCACCAAAATGAAGAGCGATTAAGAGCATGAGGAAGGACTGTGTGGGCTGACAGCAGTGTACAGACATGCAGCTAAAGGACAGCTGAGCGATAAAGGCCACAGGGAGCAAAGAGAAGGAGAACTCTCAAGCTCTGGGGATCAGAAGAGGGGGGCCAGCAGCCTGGGTCCCAGAGATGGCCTGCAAGGCCCTGGGGAGGCCTGAAAGGCAGACAGGCAGGCCACACGGACTGCAGCACTAACGGCAGGATTACTGGCATAGTGACACCGACACAGCCTCCCTAAAAGGATCACAGCGGCGTAATAAACTTTATTAAATAATAAAACTTATTATAACTGTTAACCCGATTTAGTTCATTCTTCGCGGCTTACACACACACACAAAAAAGAGGGGTGGATATAATAAGCCTTATACCGTACATAAGGCAAAGCCTACAAAAGCCATCGCCTTACCATTGACTTTAATTGGATTTGAAAAACGGGTTGCAAATTATAGCATTCTCTACTTGCAACTTAGTAAAATAAGTGTATAGAAAAGAAGGGGAAAAACCTGTGGACTGAAAGTAAATTAATCTGCTTTCTGCCCATGCTTAATTAAACTTCCTTAATGCTTATAAGAGTTAATGAGTGAATTGATTAAACAATACAGCTAATACTTACCCCCAGCTCACAAGCAGTGGTGATCAGCTCTCCTGTGGAAGAGAATAGGGGAGGAAATTAATGTAAACCCAATAATTATTATTAAGAGACAAGTCTGCTCCCAAAGTTTTCCCAAATCAAATACTTGCACTGGGGTTTTGCATTAATTTGCCAGGATCAAAACCTGCAAATCTTCCCAGTGTGACATTTCCTAAGCGGCACGCTCATTCTCTTCATCTTTCACTTCTCCCCCGATGCCTCCCTCCCTTCTCCGGCACATACACACAGATATAAACACACGAGCGTACACACAAACCATTAGACTCCCCCTCCAATGCCTTGTCACACAAAGACACACATATGCAGATCTGAGAATAATGCTTCCAGTCCCATCCTCCCCATGCATTAGGGTCCTTTCCTCTCCTCTTTCTTCTGCTGCTCTACGTGCCTCTCTCCTGCTCCCACACTCCTAATGTCTCAATGTCTCGTTTAGTCCGTTGGGCACAAACAGAAAGGCTACGCCGGTGACAGTCACAGAATGAAGTAAGCTGTAAAAATAAAAGCCGGCTGCACAATTTTTTGACAAGCTCTGTGTGAGGCGCAGCACAAAGTGAAAAGAAAACCCCTAAAAGCTTTTTGAGGGAGCTTTAATGTATCTGGGCACAAACCCATTTGTGCCAGAATACACCCAGAGCATTTCAAATTATACTGATTTCTCACCCAATGTTTGCATCTCCCACTCATGAAAATTGAAATTTGGTTCAGATTAAATGACATTGATAAATGTTTAGGTTCAGGACAGCCCCCTCTACTGGTACCAGACGGGTAGTCCCTTCCTCCGTCAAACACATCCAATGAAACGCTGGCCTTGTTTCTTGCAGACTCTATCACTTTTACAAGCTATGTCGAATCCGTAAGACACTACACGCGACTCCATTAAATCACATTAAGGTAAATTAATTTATATTGCTCTCCTGTGTTCACTGGTTTTCAAACATATAGCACGTAAGAAAGAAGAAAAGAATACAGCTGTTTCAATCTGAGCAGCTGTTGGTGCTGTTACATATATTTAAAAACAAACAAACAAACATCTGCACAGTAGGGACATGAGCAGTGATGCAGTAACAACCTTTACAAAACAGAAGGGCTGGATTTCAGATGGCACTGGTTTCCTCTCATATTTTGCAACCTTGCTGATACAGTGAATTACGATGCCTAAATTTCTGCCACATGAGAAGCCCTAACTCTTATCAGTCTAATGGACCATGAAGTCAGAACTCCTCCACCTGCACAGCTTAAATGTTTCCACAGCTCCATTTCACCTGGCATGAGCCGCCAGCTACCTGCCATCATTTAACATCACACTTTCTCATCCTTCATCGGCTTCTCAATTTCACTCATTTTCCCCTTAGAAGTGGCACACTTTTACACCATTCAACACTGAAACTCAAACTAATACCAAGCCAAAACATCCATCTCAGTGCAACAGAGATGCAGTTCTGCAGCCCCAATACTAAAAAGGGAAAATATTGACTCAACGGGGTAGCAGCATGGGTGCCAAGAGTCTTTGTGATTGTGGAGCATGGGCACCCACACCAGTCTTCCCATAATCCCCATCATTTCCACACTCCACATTCCTAGACAACAGCGTACCCGCGGGGCTGCGCTCAAGCCTCTCCAGGGCACATCACACCTAAAGAGATTAGGACACAGAGACGGAGACCTGGAGAATTCGGAAGGGTGTTCAGCTGGCACTATCAGAGCGGGCATCCTGCACCGTCCCTAAACACTGTGGAGAAGGGGCTGGCCATTTTTTCAAAGGCCCTGTTCGTTAGACAGCAGCACAACCAGCAGGGCTACTCAGCACTCCAATTGCCCGCTCTCGCTTCATCTCTCCTCGCTTATATCTGGCCGAGCTTTTCTTATGCTTTCATTCTGCAAAAATGCATTCCCTTCTGCAGCTCGCACGCCAAAGCAGTAAAAACCTAACAAGCAGAGCCTTCATGCCCTCAAGTCCATAATTTACAAGTTTGTAACCTTGGTATCACTTCTAAACACTGTTTGTAATTGTTCAAGGCACTCCTTCATAAACTGCATTACAAGAATGTTGGGAAAACACATCGGAAGGTACTGAGTGGAATACATTCAAGTCCACAGTAAGCCGTGTTAAATGTAAATTAGGTTTACGCATGCACACAAAATATTGAATTTAAATAAACAAGGACAATTATTTGTAGTGAGTGGCTGTCAACAGTGCTTTGTCAGCAATTATGGTGTCTGTGTTACCCAACAGTCAGAAAAATGAAAAAATGCATCAAATGTGGAGGAAAAGTGCAATTAGGTGTGAGTCAAACATGGTTTGCAAAAACATCTAGCAAACAAAAGGTTGCTGGTTTGGTCTGGCGAGAGACACAAATACCTTTTGGGATTGTATCAGGAAGAGCCTCCGTTGTTAAAAAATTAATTAATTAATATGTCACAAAATAAAATGAAAATGTTAACAGTTCTGAAACACATAATATGCAATTATTTGATCTTTTTTTTTTTTAAATTGCAATTTTATATTACAGTACCATTGTACGTATGTGTAGCAGGTAACATTGGGTCAAAGCATATTTTTATAGTAACGACTGAATCACATTTAAGTCATTAAAATGTTTCCTATTCATTCACTCTTAATAAAAATAGGTGTGAACCAAACTGTGACTTTGGAGAACTGTTATACCTCTACAGACTTCAACGAAATCCAAATAAGTTATGTTATAGAATTACAAGTAAACAAGTACAAGTACAACTAAAAGCAGCTGAGTTTAAAGAACAGAAAAGCATAAACTACATCATCCCAAATAGGACAGGAAATTGTTCTTTACAGCACCACCAACTTACGTCAAGATAATTGACGTTAAGATATTTTAAAAGAATAAGAAAGAAAACAAAGAAATAAATACAGATAGTCGTGTATATTTTTGCATCATTTGTTAATTACAGTGACTGAATATTATGAAATAATGCCTTTTGTCTTCACCAGTCAGCGTTGATTCCAAAATCAGCCTTAAACACTGGAAGTAAAAAAGGTATTAGTGTCTCATTAGAGGTTTTCGTATTTACCGCGGACGATTTAAAAACATGAATGAAAGAATGATTCTTTCAATTTATATATGTGTATCTCAAAGTCTGGCATGTGTTTGTTTACGTTGTCACGTCGACAAACGTCGCTTTACCTGCACTTGCAGCACCATGGACAGCACCAGTCAAGCTGCAGCGGTTTCATCAACAAGGTGCAATATGATTGGCTCCCGGCAACACAACAAAGCCACGTGACCAAATGAGCGTTAGCTAGCCTGCTAGCACCAACCTGAGTCTCCACCGGGGACCGTCCTCTGCACAGAGGGCACATACAGAGCGGCGACACAAGCGACCACGGTGCCTGTCAGTATCCAGCTTGCTCTGTGCTCCGCGGACATTTTGTTTCTTTCAGGGGAAATACGGACGATTTTCACTGAAATGTCTCTTAACTAGCGAGCTAACGTTAGCGTCCATGTATTCCAGACCCTTCGGGGTATAAATAAAACTTTGATCTACGTCTAAAACGATGTTGGGTAGAGATTAAGTAAATTTAATTTAGTTCTAAGTACAACCTTTGCATAGTCTTCAGCACACTTGCAGGAGAGTGTGCTGAGTTAGGTCCTTCCTGCCCGCGGAAAGTAGCAGCCACATTCACGCCGACTGGCTAACCTCGCGATATTACCGGACACGCTTTCCTCATAAGTTGCATTACTCATTGAATTGCTGTTTCTTGCTTTGTAAAGGGAAACAAAAACGAGCGTTTCAAATGAGGACGACCAGTGTTTTATCTCGGACGTGTTGGCCAAGCAACATGGTTATGACTACTTCCTGGTTCACTCAGTGTCATTCAGGAATGTACATCAGTCTTCTTTCATCACTTGTATTCACAGAGCTGAACGGAGAGGGGTTGGGTCTGCATCTTTACGCTAGCACGACAGTTTATTTTTCTGTCACAATTAGTCTAAAAATTGAAAGCCTTTCCTTTTTGCGCTTTACTCATAAATTTTAAAACATACTCAAGTTTTCAGGTTTTCTTCCAAGTATAATATTGTGTGCTAAAATGTACAGAAATGGAAAGAACTCTAAATCTGGCTAATTTGTAAACTGAAACTACATATGCTAATGAAAAGTATGTGTTAAAGTCTAAAGGCTCAAACCAGCTGTTTGTGATTACTATTCATTGCCAGGCACCATTTTGAAGGATCAACATGCAAATATGCATTTTCTAATGCATATGATTTCTCAGTGCATTTCAAGAGCTTTAGTTGAGAGGGACTGCTGAGTATCTCAACTCAAACATAGCCTGCCTTCCCTCATTTGGAGGGGTTGTTTTAAGCCTCACAGTGAAAATGGCATTATTACTGGATTAAAACATTATTATATTAAAGCTGTTACAGTACCTGCTTCAAATGCACAATTACGTGCACAGTAGAGCACTAGAAACAAGATACACGAATTTGTAAATGTATCACAAGTGTCCATATTTCACAGGTTGAGAGGTGACTGTAATAAAGAAATTGCCCTATTGAACTGATAATAATCCCAGCCCACCATAAATGACTCTGATCCTTCAGTAAATTGAGCCCTTGGTGAGGTGGAGTGGTGTCAGCACCTAACCAACTCTCAGATGGCTCTCTAATCCTCCCGTCCCTCTCACCACCACCCTCACCGTCTAATCAGACTTGAACACACACATAACACTCACACTCATCTGACACACACAAACCAAAGTACTCACCCTTCCTCATACTGGGGCTCAGCCATCTCTTCAGTGTGATGTCACTGCTAATCCAAGCTTGGTTATCCACTGGGGTGCAGTGCTGGCAAGAGGGATGTGGGGAGGAGATGGGATGAATTTGTGGTGGTGGATGGCGGGGGGTGAGGGGTAATCAGGCACGTCATAAAGACTTCTCTCTAAAACCATCACTTCCATTAGCCCCTACCACATAGAAAGCTAGTCTTGTACCCAAACTGTACAACATATGCGCAAATGCTCATTGGAGCGCCAATATGGACACATTTCAGCTCTGATATTTGAGATAAAACACAACTGTAGGCACATTCGCAGCCATGTAGCTCATATTTGGGGCACAGAGAAATCATCATTAGAGAGCCAGCTGGATTAAGACCCCCCCCCCCGTTCTATCCCATGCATTCACAAAATAAACGCAGGGCCTTTATATTGACAGCTTGTCCAGAGAGAGGAATTACCCACATGGTTGAGGCCCTCGTTCCATATGGCGGCAGGCTATTAACAAACATTTGTTGACTGTAATAGCAGCAGTATTAAATTCATTATCTTTTTCAGATTGTATGTGAGGTGTGTGACTTTGTATGCGTGTGTTTGTGTGGAGTGCCCAGACTGTGTGCCAGCGTGTGTGATTAGAGAGTTCTAATGTTCCAGCTCTGGGGATTTGTAGCATAAGATAAGAAAGGGCATTAACGGTGAATTGTGACGGTCTAGTGGAGCAAAACTGTTGTTTAAAATGTGCGTATGCTTTCTTTGCCGAGTCCTTTTTACATGAAAAATTTGCATTTTGTCTCAGATTTTTGTTGCTGATTTTTTTTAACTCAATGCTATACATACAGAAAAAGAGCAGCCACGCATGAGAAAGTGGCTGACTGCAGTTCCATCTATTTGATTTTGTATTTTCCTCACTTAACCTACCACATATCTGTTTTAATCTTACCTTAAGCATCCTTGAAATGAGGTGTAATCCACTTAAGCCCATTTGAATCTGCTTCACAGCCATATTACACCCATTCGTCGACTCATAAACATTCTCTCTGCTAAACAGCTGCACATTGGCGGTGTCCACGAGCCAAAATGTACATTGTGTTGACGCAGAAAGATTAAAACTCTGCAGTATTTGCACTTGCAAAAAGAGCAGCCATGTTTACTCAACCTTCTCTCGCTTACAATCAATGGGCAGCATGCAGACAGGGTGAGAAATAACTGGATAGGATGTACTTTTCATAACATTGGCTCTGTGGGCCACTGCAATGCATATGAAATAAAACAATCAAGATGCATTTGATGTGCGCACTCTCAGCTTTAATTGAGGGGGTGGAACAGTTTTATACACAGCCCTACCACCTCCTCCCCCTTTGGCAAAGTCTCAGATGCAATTGGACAAATTAACATAATCATAAATAAAATGCTAATTTTTAATACGTTGTCAAGAATCCTTGGCATGCTGCGCCGATTGGCTGAAGCCTGGAACCCACAGACATTAACCGGGGGAGCGGATCTCTTGTTGTTGTTTCTGGTTCTTTCTGACTTATTTGTCTTCATTCAGATGCATGCTGTTAATATATCAGCCCATGGATATTAGTGTACAGTGAGCACCATAAAAGTGTATAACATGTAATTACAGTACATAGTGCCAAACTACTTTTCACATCCCTGAAAAACAGTCTCACTTTTTTGTCCAATAAAAAAACAGGTTAATGCATGTTTGGTCACATCGCTCTGGGAATATCATTTGGAATCGTAACGAGGTAATTTTATGTTTTTGTTCATGTTTTGTGTGTTTTTAACAAAATTTGGTTAATAAAGTTAGATCATTCTTCTCTGTGTACGTTCACTGTGTCCTTTCATTTAAAGCTGCCTCTCTTTTGCTCCACACAGCCTGGCCCAAATACTAGTCAAAAGACAAAGCTGCGAGAAACAACAAGCATTAACCCTGTGCTCTTTTGCAAGTGGAAAAAATACAACCATTCCCTGTAAAATGTACATGTAGCGAGGCCTTGAACCACAGAATAGGTCTTCAGAGAGATTAATTCTCCTCTGTGATCCAGTTCTCATTACAACAAGCAGGGGACTCAAACACACATAATAACAGGGCTGACTGCTGTTCCTTTGTAACATGTGGCTACTTAAATGATCCTAAATAAGATAGATGACAAGGATAAAGCAAATCATAATCGGCATTTTGCACAATGGAACATAATAGTCTGCGGAGAACAAGGGACAACATACAGAGCTCCTGTTTTCATCGCCTGGAGCTGCACACCTAGTCGAGAGCAATTAAAATGAGAGGATTCAATTTTGTCAAACACCAGGAACCTGAGATAAATCTTGTATCTCATTTTCCAGCGTGAGGACACTCCCTCGTGTCGGTGCTATCATGTTTGTTATGGTATTTTTAAGAAACAGCTGGCTGCCGACAGACTTGGTAAAACAACCCCACCCCTGCCACCCTCCCACCCTTTCCCCAAATCATGCTAATCCCAATCATTTCAGTGTGAGACGCAGGGGTGAGGAGACGTTAGAGTCGGGTGAGGCTGTGAATAAAAGATGGTTTTAGACTGAAAATTTAGACAGAGCAGAAGGGGGAGGAGGGAGAGAGCAAGGCGGCACGTCACTGCATGGTTTCCATGTGGGAGCAATCCACTTACTTGAACTGATAAAGATTTAATTAACACAAGACTCTGCAATTACTCCATAATTAAAGTAATTTGTCCTCTTGTTTGGATGAGTAGGCAAGACGCCGCATGTGCCCGTGTAAGAGCAGACGAGAGAGAAAAAAAAGGGGGGCGTGAGATGCTCAGAGAGGCAAAGTATGCCCCCACTTTAGTATTTGAATTTAATGCTTGATTTTCCAAACCTATTTTTCCCCACATATGTTCTAATGAAATATTTGTATCGGCTTCTCTTTAGCCCTGTGTTTATTTGCCTTTTATTTGACAACTCATTTGTTATTCATTGAGAAAGTAATAAGCTGAGTAGGCTGAGTACAAAGTATCATCAAGAGCCACATGAAATAGTAAATAGGCCTGATATAATCATAATCCTCTTCAAACTGCACTGCATACAGCTTTGAATTGTGTAGTGCTACAGAGCTGGCTGCAAGCTAAAGGAGACAAATGCACGCACACACATACAAAAAGTGGGATGGTTTTGTTTGACAACTCAAATTGCATGACTCAGAAGTGAGAGGAGAGTCCTGTGTGAGGTGTTTGACCTTGGGCCTGGATAACAAAGGCTGGACCTGACTTAAAGTAAGACATGCAGGTGTTTGATTGAAGCAACAATTAGTGACTAATCACTCGAGACAGAAATAGCGAGGAATTAGCAGCACAGTCCAATATGTGGCACTGTGCTGTGGCAGTCCAATTTGCAAGAAGATTAAAAAAAAATAAAAAAAAGACCTGCCAAGTTTACTATTAAAAAACCAGGGAGACAAATGTGTCTTGTGTTAGCTTCTGAGGGTTGTATGTGCTGTTACTTAATTTACACGAGGGGAAGAGCACTATCTCTTATTTACAGATGATGATCTGCATATAATTTGCCTCAGTTGCACGCTGGGTAATTGAGGTAAATATCACAGCATTCAACTTGCCAGCTGAGGTATCCCGCTGATAGCTTGGCGTACAGCCCGCAGCCACCTGTGGCATTTCACATGTTGGGTGAAATCACAGGGCAGACAGACAAAAAGAAAAAGAAAACATGTAAGGCAACTAAGGCACAACTCTGAATACAACCTTCAGATGTGTAACAGCTGGATGATTGACAACTGTTGTTGACTTTAATCCAATAACCTATATATTGCTGGCTGTTGTTAGAGGGGGAAAAATCTCATCTAAATATCTGAGGAAGTGGCACGATCACTGCTTAAAAGTTTCAGTGGTTTTTTTGTGTGTTTTTTTTTTCAAGGCTGCATGCACTTACAACTGATTGCCCCCCCCAGCCACATTTTGAAGACAGGCCTTGAAAAATGTTTGGATTTCATTACTATCACTATGTGCAGGGGCCTACCCAGAGGAGTGTGGAGATGTTCAGCATATACTTTTTCACTGATCTCTGAGAAATAATTGCATTAACCCTATACCTATATAGTTTGCAGCTCACTTCTCTCAGCTATCAAATTAAAACTACTGGAATGCTTAAATACTTTATTTAGTAAGAGTGAATTTCTTTTTGCCATTGCC